TTAAAATTAAAATCGCGTTCTTAATCTTATCTTAATGATTGGAAAATGATAATGATAATCGATAGTACACAACATATCCTACTATAAATTATAATTTCAATCTGCGTATGAGAGTACGGAATGCATAATAAATACAATCATTCAGATGATAGACGCATGTTAAAAACTGAGAACAATATTTGAATCATTTTGAACTTCAGTTATTCTATCAATAATTTCATCTTCGCTTTGAGTTTCACAGTCTATAAATGTAATTGTCATACACTTGCACGAATGAGTGAGAATATAAATGCTACACGGCAGACTATAATGCGACATGCGATAGATAGACGAAAAAATTCGAGGCGATGTAATAAAAATTATATGAATGATTTTTTTGCTTTTTTGATTGCCAATGGTGTTCAGTTAATATAATCTTAATTTTAGTAGTACATATTTTTTAAAGGCAATGTGAGCAATTTTTGTAATTTGTAGTCTATAAAAGTCTGAGAACGTTTCCTTCACAAAGGAACATTTATTTGGTGCAATTTAAGCAATAGATCCCCTTCAAATTGCCAGACCCTCATCTGTTTACGGTAAGGGTCACTGAATAGCTTGTGTGAATGTGCTATGTATCAAGTGTCTAGGTTAAGTTATGGTGGTGATTGACATGTGTTCACGTAGGGAACGTACATATGTAAATTATGTATTTTTATTATTGTCTTCTTTACCTTAAGTTAGTATTTTGGTGAAAAGGCTGATTTATAACACCTACAACTGGAATTCCAGTGGTTTTCGAATAAACGCCAATAAGAACAGTCACGCATCTCAATCCTTTTGTATAAATTCCACACTCATGTCTCTCTTCTTTACCAGTAATATATTCTGACGTCGAATCTGTGCAATGTAAATGTAATAAATGTATATTCTACATATTTTCAAAAATATTTATATTCCTAACAAACGTGCCTATGGGATCAATCCATATTCCTAATGTAGAACAATCAAAACTGATGTTTTCTTTTGGGAAGATGGTATTAATTTCTTTTAAGGCTATTTCTGCATACACTTCGTTAGTTAGCATTTCTGCTGCTTCAATGTTTCCATCGAGTACTTTTTGTAGCATTAGTTTTGTTTCTTCTGGATTTTCCGAAATTTGTACGCTCACCTTTTCGCCTAATGCATTTTCAAATGTATTGTTTTCTTCCCCTCGTATATCATCTTTTATTTTTGGGAACTGTCGCAAAATTTAAATTCATTAAAAATGTTTTTCAGTTACCTACTTATTATTTTTTTTAGTCATATAGTTCATGCGTGTAAACTTTTGAAAGTTGCAGTTCCCAATTATTTTCCAAAGCTGAATGGGGCACCAAGCGCCACCTAACGAAAAGCATCCATAACAATAATAATGTAAGGAAGTAATTTTCAATTTTCCACTTTAATCTACAATGCCTTTTTAAAGTAATACAAAATTGTTGCAACGGGATTATTATTTATAAATGAAAATATAGTAATAAAAAAATAATAAAAACAATACAAAAGTTATTGCTTTTTATTGTCTTTCT